TCAGTGCTGTGTTTAACCGCTGTAACATTAGTGGCAGCAGCAGAAAGTTTACTGATTTTCTTCAAGTTAACTTTCAATTTGTGGCTTAGTAGGCTAATTGAAGCCTGCTTGTTGAATAAATCAATTCCAAATTGCACTCGTCAGCTAATTTACATCCCATACTCGAGTACTCTCTAATGATTTAATGCAAGCACTCGAATACTGAAGTTACCTTAATGCCCATCCTTAACACTTATAATATAACAGTCCTGCAACAAATCCTCCTTCATGAAGGGTCACAATATTCAGTTTTTGTTGAAACTGTTTTTAAAAAGTCTTTATTTTAACTTTCTGATCAGTTTTGGGAATATGATGTGTTGAGTTGTTGTATTGTATTGCATTACACTGACTGTGGTTTGTCCTGTATAATGCAGTACAGTGGGTGTATTATAATACATATGTGGAGAATAAGAGTAAGTAGCTTATGGCCTGTCCAGGTCCTCCAGATAGTATTTTTGCTGCACCCTGAAAACATCCACACTGAGCAGTGAAATGATCAGTGGGTCGGGGCTTACATCGTACATCTGACGCCACAAAGTAAATCTTGGCCTCTGGGGCAGCAGATACATGAACACTGGGAAAAACAGCAGCAATAGGACCTGAATTATACATTTGCACTGTGTTGTTTTCCACGCTGTCAAAGTCAGATACACTTTAATGTCTCAGTCCTGGAATATGACCTCTTACTACCCTGCTGTTATGGTACATAAATCAGATGCCACTGACTCCCATTGTGTGATTAAAAGCTTTGATACCATGCAAATAGAATAATTACATGCCCATCTAATCATGTTAGTACTTTAAGAATATCATTTTCCAGTCCCTGGTGGTTGAACAGAGATTTTTCCAGAGAGGAATCCACTCTTTCCTGCTTATTAAGTGTGCTGTTAAAAAAATGTTGACAACAGGCTATAAAATATAATCACAGGACTACAGAGAGGATTTTGAGGTTAAAAATTTCCCCAGTAATTTAAAAGATAACTTGCTACTTGATGTATAATGCATGGTCTGCACAATGCAGTATTACACTGACTAACAAACAGCAGAGGTGGGAACAGGAAATGATGGTGCTTACAAAAGGAACAATGGGGAGAATAGTGATAGTACTTGCAAAGGGCTCTGAGTGAAATGATTGTACCTCTTGCCTGTAAAAATTTACTGCGCCCTGGAGGCTACTCAGAGGAAGAAAAGGGCCTGCAGCAATTTAGGCCAAGAGCAGCCACCATGACAACTGATAAATACAGAAATCATTCAAGGTAACGTGTTCTCCTGAAACCTGAGAGTGTGGACGGTTGGAAGCATATCTCACACTGTTGTTTCGAGAGGTGACAGTTAAATCTCTGCTTAACTGTTTAGCTCTGTCCTTTCATCTGTTTAGTCTCTAATGGTATTTGGTGACATTTTGAGGTTGCAGTGTCCATTATTAGTGGGATTAGGAAGCCAAATCTAATAATCCGAATGAAAACAAGTCATTTCAGGGGAAAAAGAGGTCTATGGAGCTACTATACCATCTGTTTCGCACATTTTACTGGTACTGACATCTTAATATGAGAGCGCCACAGTATCTCCAGGAGGCTTGGAACAGCAGCTTGTTGTTTTTGACTGCTTTTCTGTCTACGAGGAAAAGAATCAAGCACAATTCATGCAACTGCTGTACTCAAAATCTAAAAAATGTTGAGACTAAAGGTTTTTTCCTTCCTGAGATACAGTAAATGGGTTTCTTATGAACCATTCGGGGGAGGGGCTTAACTACATTTGCTTCTGCTTTATTCTGTTCTTATGCTTTGATTGCATTTCATCGCTCCCCACAGGAATCTCTGAATTATATACATTATTGTAATTTGTTGTTGCTTCCTCCTCCTCCTCTAGTAGTCATTTCTTTGAGCTGCATCAGTGTCCTTAGTCTTTCTTTTGGTGGCTACTTCTTCTGTCTTGCCTCCATGCTCTATTCTGTCCCTTTCCCTGCTGTATAAAAAGCGCCATGTGTGAGGCGACTTGTGTTTGGTATTGTCTGGGTTTTTGCCAGTACCGATGCTACGATACTTTTACAATGGTACTTACATGATACATGATACCTTAACAGTGCCTGAACCAAAAAGTTGACAAAAAATAGAAAGACAGAACGAGGGTCAGTGACATTAAAAAGATTGCCTTTTTTATTGCAAAGGCAAATTTAAACTTGAAATTGGACAGTGTATTACCGCTTCACAATTAACTTAACTCTTAACCCAACTACAATAATATTTCACGAGGCTTACTTTGGGGCTGAACCCCATCACTTAAATCAACAGATGACAAGCAAGACATGGAAGCTTGGTTTGGGTCTGGAGGAGTTGGAACATTTATTCTACGCCAACTTTTGTCTTCAGCTGTACACACATTGCTCTGCCTTTAACTTCATATTCTCTGCTCTGGTTGCTGCAGTCTCACACATGCTCTCTCTTTCTTTCTATCCACCGCGGCATACACTAGCTACACGCACAGTCTGGCACCAGAATGAGGCACCAAAGTCTTTGTAAGTTTGTAAGTCTATTGTAATTTGGTCCAGTATGTACCTTGCAGGACTTGCACTTATGCATCGCATTGACGCCGTACCTACGCCATTGGCTGACGTGCACCTCCCCAGAAATGTAACTACACGGCACGACCATTTCCCTCAGTGGAAATAAAGCTATAATTTCCTTTCATTTCACAGATAAGAAACAATAAATTGCAAAGACAATAAAGCCTTCACAAAATAGCGTTTTAAGTCTTATGTGTGTTTTATCCTTACTTCATATGGGTAGAGGAAAACTCCACTAACTGCTAGGCTAATTTATACAATGTAAAATGTCATAGGCTTGTGCTAATAACATTGGCATGTTATATTTGTGGGGAAAATGTGTCCAGATAAGGACAAGTCTGTGAATGCTGCGAATCATAATGAAGCCGATTTGTGTACTTGTGTTTGAAATTGTTGTTGCAACTAAACTTTACAGAACTTCAAAGAAACCCCACTGCTGACTAGTGTTTTGGAGGTGTAACCTGGTTTTGGTACCCAACCCTTCTGGGGACTTAAAGTTGGCGTTTTTTAACATCGGTGGGTAAAAGAGAGCAGCCACGGACATATTCTGAGCCTGTTAGCTTGGACAGCTTTACCATAGCAACGTTACGTGACGTGTTTGAGGATCCTGAGGATTAACATTGTTAACCCTGACATCACTAGCTCTGCCCTTTGCACTGGTCCTTTTAGGTACTGCCAGCTGCCCATCATGCTTCAATGCCTTCGAGTGGACATCACAGAAACCTGTCTGTATAGGCGGGCTCGTAGTAGGGGTGGGAATCACTACAGGACCCATGATACGATATTATCATGATACTTAGGTCACAATACAATATTACTGCGATATTGCAATGTGCTGAGTATTGCAATAAAATATCCAGGCAGAAGGGCAGAAGCTTGTCTGTCTGATTCAGCTGTCCTGCCAGTCCTACATAAACCGCATTTTGCACCTGTGCAACATTGGCTGAAATTTATTAGACCTTAGTATTAATGTGTTCACAGTGCTAGATTTCCATGAATCGATGAAATAATGCCGCAATCTCATACTAAAATTCTGGCCCTTCGGCAATATGTGCTGTTCACATCCACATTCAACATTATGGTTCAAAGAAAGGCTAAAGGACGTGATTTTCACCCATATTTTCAGCAGGAAGTCCGCAGAACTGTAATTGCAGGTGGTTGGCAGAAGCTGTTGGTTGGCAAGACAACAAGAGTATTTATTATTTTATTCAAATGTGTACTCTTGGAAGTTTCTAGCAAAGCTTTTCCCCATATTATTATTGTAAGATTTATGATCTTACCCTTACATACTTTTGTCATTTTTTGTTTTTTAACCTTTGGATAATTTGATGCTCCATAAAGTGATGCGCTATAATGTGTCACGTAGGATAACAGTGTGAGACTTTGTTTTCTAGTCTGATGTTTTCTCCACCCACAAACCTGGATGGCTGTGTGCGTGTGTGTGTGTGTGTGTGTGTGTGTGTGTGTGTGTGTGTGTGTGTGTGTGTGTGTTCGCTCAAGGTGTTTTGTTCACCAGTTGAACCAATCTCTGCGGTCCTCTGATTGGATAATTGAGCGGTCCTGTATGTGCATATACAGTGTGTGAAACCGTTACGGTGCATTCCTAAATACCTGATGAAGGTCGAAAAAGACCAAAACATCATTAATAAATATTCCAGCAGTAAGTGAGACAGTGTGTGGGAGTTTTCTCATTCATATTCAAAACTAAATGAACGTGACATTTCTGCCCTCTCTTGGAGATTGATAGCAGTTAGTTACCAAGGCTGGACCAGTGAAGGACAGGTGCAATCATACAATCCAATCAATTCCTCTCAAATAGCAGAGAACGGGCAGCGCAGGTTTTTGTGTTGTACCATACTCCGGCATACATGAGGAATATATTGCCTGGAAACATTACCAGCTTTAAATCAGTCAGGAAGTACTACTTGAGATGCAGCGTTGCACTGCACACTGGGATGAGAGACGGGCCCGGAGAGCCTACTGATTTTAACGACCTGAAAGCTTGTTTCTAATGGGCTGATTGGATTTACTATTGATTATGTTTTCAGCGCATGCGGTGGCATAGTTTTGTGATTGCTATTGTCGCCCACTGCAAATTGAGGTAGCCAACAGACGAGTAATGGAAGCATTAATTTCTCCCGGACGAAATTAGAGACTCCCATTCACTTATCCATGCGCATTACATTTAACCTAAATTAGAGGAGTGTGATTGTTTTCTCCCTGATGACAAATACATTTACCTATGCGTACCACGTACACACGCACACACACACACACACACACACACACACACACACATACATGATGTATTCACAGCAGATCCAATCAATATACTTGGTCATTGATTGAGTGCTTTCCATTGACCCAGTGCCTTCTCTGCTATTAAGCGTGGACTCACTTGTGCATTTTTTGATGCCAGATCCTTTCTTCACAGCGTGTCGACTGAGCTTGCATTGGAAGTTATTCTCCCAGAACTCTGCAAACCAAATATTCCTCCTGTTGTTCTCGAGCGTTCGGCTGATGAAGTAGCGATCGAATCCTGAAAGAAAGAAGACACTGTCAGAATTTAATCCATCATATTTTTAACTTTAAATATGCTAAGCAAAATGTAAACTCTTTCGGGCCCCGGTCCTCATGGATAACTTTGGTGATGATTTCAAACGAGCCGAGTATTTACCGAGACCCCGGCTAGAACTGAAGCTCTGCAATCAAACACATCAGCAACCCAAATTCCCTTTGGTTTGCTCTTAGCTAAACAACAACAACAGTTCAAATGAAGTCACATCTTTGAAAAGATCCACAAGTACATTATCATTTTGCTGTGCTGACTTTCATGAATTATTATGCTTTCCATGAGATTTTAAAAACATTTTTAATAAACCTGGTTCAGCAGAATGCCTAAAGCCATTGGGGAGTGTGTGATTATTAAGTTTTCACATTTGATTCTATATCTGAGTGCATATTCTGTTACCCACAGACAACTTTATTCACACTTTATAAAGTAAGCTTTGTAAAAAATGAACAGAATCTCTACATATATAATCATGGCATCAGAGAAATATACCCAATATATTATAGTAGTGCTTTAATCAATATAAAAGTTCAGCAACAGAAATGACACAAGAACATTTTGAGTGTGGTTGTCAGAGGGAGAACACAGTGGTAGTAATGAACAGTGGAGGCACATTTATACTACAACAAGCAGAAAAGTGGCAGAAATATCAAGATTTTATAAAATGAAAAAAATATTTATGATCAGTGTTTCCCACAGAATTAGACTGTATTTTTGGCGGTAGCTTCCCATGGGTTGGGTGTGGGGGATGAAGTTTTTAGAGATGTTCCGCTACCATTTTTGCCTTCCTGATGCCGATTCCAATACTTGAACTTGCTTATCAGCCGATAAAGATTAGGGATCAGATCCAGTTGCTTTAAAATAATTTAAACAGCTATAACCCTGAAACTAAAGCTTTGAATAATTGCCTTTCATTGGTTGGACTTTCCAGTATAAATATTGCCAATATTGCTGACAGTTTGCTAATGACTAACATTAAAATCACTTCTTTTTTTGCTGTTCTTAAACAGTAGTTGCCAGTGGATGCACAGAACAACTTGCTGTGTAGGCTACTGTCTTAAAGCAGGGAAGAAGAATTGGTTTCTGGGAAGACTGCCCTTGTACAAGACCTACCAAGCCATCAATCCGGATGTATCTGTTCATCCACTTTCTGCCAGCAATACACCATACATTGAAGACCGTCTGAGAATAACTTTTACTCTGTGCCAGTTCCAAGACTGGCATACCAAATGAAGAACATATACTTGTATGCCCTCTTGCACCGCTTATCAGTGAGAAATATGGACATGACTCTACTGAACTGAGCTCACTCTTTGTGGACACTGATAAAAGAATCTTAGTCATGTTACATGCATGTCTTTCGGTACTTCAGCACCAGCAGGCCTCTACTGAACGACAGGACTCTGGGTTGTTAGGTGTTTTACCTTTTAATGGTTTTACTAATATTTATCTTCAGATTTATCTTACGTATGATTTTTTTTGTATATTGTTTGACCCAAATATTTTAAATAACAACTATCTGGGTGTGATACTACTTTTAAGTGTATTGATAAATCACATAGTATTGGATTGGGGCTTAGACTAGTGTATTTTCTGATACCCAATCTAGTATTTTGGGCAGTATTAGAGGCATTTTCAGTACTGGTATAAATTTTGGAGCTATTCTAGAAGTTTTGATTGGATACAAAACCTTTCTTTCACGAAGCCTAGTGTTATTGTGTAATTCTCTGTTTTATTTGTGAAGTGTATAAACTAAAAAGTGACAGAGTACGGCTGACTCATATGAATGGGTCCAGCACAAACTGAATGCTGCAGGTTTGTGTTATATACTTCTGGTGTGTGAAATGTCTGTATCCTCACAGTGCTGCATTTTTAGAAACTATAATCACCTGGGCCCATATCTCGTAGCGTCATACATTTCATATAACTAAAGGTAAATCCGGTAACTATGACTAACAGCAGTACATTACCAGCGGAAACACTGGGTGCTCTTGCAACTGTAGTGTAGTGGAACATCAGTAATACCTGCTGTTCAACACACAGCACCGCTTGCTCATCAGAGCAGCTCCAGTCTGCTTTCGTCTTCCATCAGAGGTACAGTAGCCTTCAGTGTTGATAGGCTGTTACTTGTGATGTGTAACCAATCCGATGGTACTGTGGGCGGGATACTGAGTGAGGCTACAGTGGTTACTACAGACAGAAAAAAGCAGCTGAGCCAAAGTAATGTTTATTTATTTATTTTTTTTCATTTAATTCATTTTATTGGCTATTGGATTTTAAATAGTACGTAAAAAAGAGAAGAAAATCAATATGTGGCGGCCAATGTTGATATTGTGGCGAGCTGCCACAAATAAATCAATGTATGGGAAACACTGATGTAAGAAAACAAACCATTACTAGCCTTCTGTAAGGTCAAGTTAGGATGTGTGTTATGAATACCTTTGATGGACTGTCGTTTGGGGAGGATGGTGACAGCACCTTCTGCCATCTCTTCCTGGTTCAGTATCGGGGAGATTTTTGAGCCCCAGCTGTCTGAACCAACCCAGATGAAATGGCCAGTTTGATTGGCCTTCTTAGCCGCTTGAAGGAGACGCCTTCGGGACAGAGAAAGAGAGCAGTGTTTATTAGTACCATTTAATGTTTATAATGTGTTGTCACTATTTCCATTTATTTTCTGCAGTGATGTATTCACTATGAAAGAAGGCTCCTATTTTAAATGCACCATAAAGAAGGCATGTAGCTGTCATACAGGTGATTCCCTTACTAGAATATTCTATTCTGAGTCTGCACAGTGTTGCACAAGGCACTTTAGTAGAACTGAAAAGCCACCATAGACACACTATCCATTCCCAGTGCGGAGTAGTTCTTCTTGGCTGTGGCAGAATGACACCCCTGCCACATTTGTCCAGGCTTGTTGCCAATGGGAGTAAGTTTGGGGAGCTGTAAAAAAAAAACTGCCAGCGAGCTCTGCTGTAGCTGCAGAGTTACATCAAGAAAGCTTGAGCACAGCAACATAAAATTTAAACACAGCCACCTGGCATGTGGAGCATTACCAACCCCTCACATCTCCCCAAAGATGCTGGAACAAAAAATAAATATTAAGCATCTTATTGTGCTGGAGACAACAGCAGCTCTTCGATGTGGCATATGCTGTTTTAACATCTTGCATGAGACTTTTGAGTTGCATAAAGGATGGTAAACCATATTAAAATATTTACTACAGTTTTCTGTCATATGTGGAGTGGGCGAGCAGTGAGTCATCCAGCTGACTTGATGTCTCTTTACATTAGTTTTTTGGACCCCAGGGACGTATGTTTGATTGGTAATGATTTTTCTCTGAGCCTGGTCTCCAGAAATGTAGAGAAATGAGCATGTTGTGAGATACAATTATGTGCTTAGTGCAGGAGAGATGAGAGAAATAGATTTTCTCTGTCAGAAGATTACATAACAGAAACATGAACAGACAAGCTGAAAAGTCTTGCACAGTGAGAAGTGAAGGTGCTGTGTCAAGGTCCTGAAAGGGCGTATACTTTACATTTTACAGCCAAGGTTCAGTTCCCAGTTCATCTTAACGTCTTTACTGTGAGTAAAATTGTTATGTTACAAGACGACCTTACTGTACCTGTAATCAAAGTTATTTATTGCCTATTTTTTAGTTTTATCTGACACTATCTGAAACTTAAAGGAATACTTAACCCCCCAAATAACCATTTACACACTAGTTACTCACTCTGTCTTAAGTTTAATTTGCTAACAAAATGTATTTCTTCCTTGCCTGTGGTGAGCAAAGAATTCAAAAGCAGAGAAAATTCTTGATAAATTAAAGTGGGGGTGCGTTCAACAATAGCAAACTGTGTTGTTGTGTTACTTTGGTCATTTAAAAAGTTTGGATTCAGCAAAGTCGCACAAAAACACAAACTAACTGATTGAATTAGCAGTAGACAAGCAGCTCCTGTGTTCAGAGAGGTAAAATGATATGTCAGTGATGTCTGACTTTGAAGAGAGCATAAATTCAGGGTGCTTTCAGACCTAGAGTTGTCTTGCTTTGGTCTGAATCAGGGACTCATCTTGTTTCAAGGTTGCATAATTGCCTAGAGTTTGTTCGTGTTCTCACGGTAACATTTACAAGCGGACCAGATAAAATACCTTGTGTGAGAAAGCTGCTCTTGATTGTCAGAATTTCCATGTGGGAAAAATCCAGGAAGTAAACAAAACGTTGAAGAAGAGTACACTTGCAAGATAAATGTGACATGCAGGTTGATTTTAGCGCTGCTCATCGTGGACTATATTGCTGTCATTGTTCATTTTAGTCAAACCATACAGTTTGAAAACGAGGCACGGCTCCAACTAGAAAACAATGTTTTGATGCATTGGATGTGCTGAATGTGCATATTAAGGCAGTACAGGAGGAGGTGCACATTAATAATCCTCCAGGACTGTAACATGCTCATGTTTAACCCAAACAAACTGCTCCAGTTCAGACTGAGACCACCTCTTCAAGAAGGTCTCAGTCTGGTTGTTTTGATGCGCGCCCGAGTGCGATTGCTGTGTTCACACCTGCCCAAACGAACCGCAGTTAGGGGGCAAACGAACTTGAGCTTGATTGAACCAAACCAAACAGGGCAGATGTGAAAGTATCCTTATTTTCAGTTTCCGTTCAGTTCCCTGTCACAAAGGGCTGTCTGTCTGGTGATGTACCGAGCATGCAACTGGGTAAAACAGATTTCGATTATAGTGCACGAGTTCTGTGGGGGTTTGTAAACAGATGTTTTGATGAATGACCTCAATTCATCAAGAATTTTTTATGTTTCGAGATTCTTTGTTCACAGAAAGCATGTGAGAAAAACAGTTTTCATCACAAATTCAGTGTCAGATGGGGTGAGTAACTGATACACAAAAAGTGATTTGACAGGTGACAGGTTTTCTTTTTAAATTAAGTTAAAATTTGAGGTGATAATTGGAAAATGACACATCCAGTATGTGTTACTGTCAAAAAATCAGCTGGAGCAATAAAATGTTCACATTCTTAAAAGCGCAAGATACTGGAGATGATACAAGATGATTAAATTTACTTTAATGTTATGAAATCATGTTGTTTTCCCACAGAGCCAACACAGCGAAGGACAAACCTACCTGTCTGGCTGGAATATGAAAGGCAAACCAACAAACAGTATTCCTTTTGTTCTTCATAATGCTGAGACAATGCAGCTTATTTAAATAATAAGTATAAGTATTACATTAAAGGGCTCCATCCAAACAGCTCAAGTCCCTTATACTTTCTATGTGGACCATTTTGAGTTCTTATTAAACTGCTGCCAGCTAACACTGGCTGGGTTCAAGGATAGAGCAGGCATGCAGTGCTGAAATCCCCCTGGCTTTCTGTAATTACTATATATCCAGACTATTACCCGTTATCAGGACCGGATTAAGTCAATGAGCACTGGGACTTCTGCCCTGGTCATCATCAAGAGACCGCCTCAAATCACTGCCCACTTCCACTAGGAATACACTGGCCTACAAACTGGTTGCTGGGAAACATTTTCCCTTGCAAAGCTACAACAGTGCTGCGTGTGTTGATTTAGCCTTTGACTAATTAACTAGTTCTTGATGCAGACGATCAATCTTAATAACAGATAATGAATTTAAATTGATACATTTGCGTCTCCGCAAGGAACTCAGGGACACTGTTAATTGTACTTTCGTACAGTGTTGTCAGGATAGATAGGGACTACAGACTAGATGTCTATTAGTTAGATAGAAAGGACACAGGGGAGTGGATAGAATATTAGAAATGCTGTTCAATGTAATGCATTTCAATACAACACCATGATAAAATATGGCCTCATAAGCAGCAACAGAGTGCATTCAACCCCTCTCTGACAGTCTCAACAAAAAATGTGTAGCAAAAGTATTATCAGTGGTGGAAGAAGTACTCAGATCATTTATTTAAAGGGACAGTTCATCCCTAAAATCAAAAATACATTTTTCCTCTTAACTGTAGCACTATTTATCAGTCCAGATTGTTTTGGTGTGAGTCACAGAGTGTTGGAGATATCAGCCGTGGAGATGTCTGCCTTCTCTCCAATATAATAGAACTAAATGGCACTCTGCTTGTGGTGCTCAAAGTGCCAAAGAAAAAGTGTCCAACAGTGTCTCTTTAAAGGAATCGTGACCTGGTTATTCAAAATAATACCAGACATTGTTGTGAGTAGTATAATGTAGGAACTATTTTCTGTCTACCAAACTACACCTGCCAACTTTATCACTGCACAGGAGGATGCCTGCATCTACTCATGGACGAGAGGTTCATGCTTGTGACAGTGCAAGACGTAACATTAGGCGTCTTCCTCGGCTGAGCTGTAACATTAGCTAGCTCAGTGATGCTAGGTGAGCTAGTAGTAGCACGCTTCTGTCTGTGTTGTGATACTGTTAGTGGGTGTAGTTCGGGAGAAAGGAAAGAGTTCCTACATGAAACTGCTCCCAACAATGCTGTGGATTTTCTTTGGTAACCGTGACTATCATGATTTCTGTAAAGAGACATTGCTGTTGGGTTTTTCAAATTGATTCTTTTTTGCTGCTTTGAGCACCACAACCTGAGTGCCATCTAGTTCTATTATACTGGAGAGAAGGCAGATGTCTCTACGGCTGATATCATCAACACTCTGCAATCACACCAAACTATCTAGACTTATAAACAGCACTACAGGTAAGAGGAAAAATATGTATTTTTGATTTTGGAGTGAACTGTCCCTTTATGTAAAAGTAGTGATCACAGTCCAGAAATAATTCTGTTACAAGTAAAAGTCTTTAATTTGGAAATTTTCCTTGAGTACAATGTTTAGAAGTATTATCGATGAAAAGTAAAACTATGTTTGCAAAAGTATGGTTGTCATGAGTCGGTTCAGGAAAGGACTCAAATGCAGCGAAGTAGGCAACATACGGCAAGGTTCAATGAAGCTGATGAAAACATCTAAAACTAGGCAGGTAACTGAAGGTCCAAAAGAAAGAAGAACCAAAACTAAACTGAAAACCATCCTAGATAACACAAACTTGGAGAAGAAATCCAAAACGGAACCCAAGAAACCAGGCAGTAAACAGAGCAGGGAACAAAACCATTAACACAGATGAACTGACAAGGAATAAATGGAAACACAGAGGTATATACACACAGAAAACTAATCACAAGAACAAGACACAGCTGGAATAGGTGGACACGAACAAAAGGAGGGAAATAGAGATAGGCAGACAACAAGGGTGTAATGGGAAACACTAGGGTGGAGCAAACAAGACTAGTACAGAACAGGTGTGAAGGGAAGACTCTGGGAAGAGGGACGGACTAACGAAACTGAAGGAAGATGCTGTGATCGACAACAGGGTGGGAAAACACACATAGACAGGAAGTGAAACCAGACATGAGACATGAGGGGAGAATCTACAAAATAAATGAGGAAACGGAGTAAACATTGATGAATGAACATAAACAAAAACCCAGGATCATGCCAATGATTCGTATGTTAACTTTTAATTTGCCACTAACAGCTAAAGATGTCAAATAAATGAAGAACATTTCACTTCAAATGTTCAAAGTATCATAAAATGGAAGTCTTCAAGTACCTTAAATCTGTACAGTACTTGAGTAATGATTTCCACCACTGGGTTGTAGTTATTTTCCACACCACACCATGTCTTGGTGTCTTAGTGACTAAAACTACTTCACCTGCCTGTAAAATACCTTTGACATCTTCAGTGACAAAGCTTAAGAGAATGTGAATACACCCAAATATAATCATATCTTCCATTTATAACTCATAAATATTAACAGGCAGGCAGCAGGCTGTTTTTCTCAAGGAAAAGGCAATTTAATATCTTTATGCACACAGGAGACATTTGTGACATTTTAATGCCAGCTGCAGAGGCAGCCTGAGGTGGAGACACTACTAAACAACATTTATCACTTCAGACGTTACTAGATTTTGAAAACTCTTAAACAGCTTTACTTCAACGTATCATAACAGTGTGTTTTCCTTTAAAGAAAACTGGCATTTAAATGTTAAAAAACAAGGTATCTATTGGTGGTTAAAAGTGGTCGAGGTGAGTCAGGTTAAAAGTTCTATTAACTGACAGCAATTAGGATTTCACTGCACTCACCTGATGTCATCCTCATTGGCAAAGATAATGACCACTCGGGCGTTGGGATTCTCACTCAGCCTGCGAATGATCTTGTCAAACTCTCCAGCTTTAGGTTCACGTGGTATTTTCACAGACTGGGAAATGCAGAGACCACCTAATTGGACGACAAAAGAGAGAAGTTTCCAAATTAGATGGGCTTAAGAAGAAGAGAAAGCTGCCTTTTCTTCTGCTAAACATCTGAACCGATCTCATTAGCAAACAGTTTAATGCATATAAAAGCTGCAGTCTCAGGTGTGTCTTTTCCACACTCTGTCACTAGAAATATTTGTTTGACTCTTTAAATTTTTTCCGTCTTCTTTCATTTAACCCACACAAATCTTTTTCAGTCCTCTGGACTTTTTATGACACATGCACTATTAAAAGTTCACAGGTGCAATATTTCACAGCATGAGGGATGCAAGGTATTAAAAAAAAATCTTTCCTCGGACCACAAGGGGCAACTTTGAGACACGGAGACCCATCAATTCAGTTTATGGTGCTGCCAGTGTGACCAGGGGAATTTGGTTGCATTTTGGAAGTACATAAATTTTGTAATTGAAAACTGGTTTCATTTGGTCCAAGTCATTTTTCTTGCAGGTTATTTCATTGAGTCTTAAGTAAAAACTATTATTTACCAAATTTTCTTCTTCTTCTTGACTGAAGATTTAGCCATTTTTGAAAGATAGACAGAAAAGAAAGATGAAATATCCATTTGAACCAGTCAAATCACATGCTGGTGCTCTCATAGCATGGTCCAGTGACTTGATTAGTTGGGTTTAGCTTGTTAGGCACTGCCCCGCACAATAGCTACAGTAATTCCCCAGGGATCAGTTTAAACAGAGCCCTCAGCCTTTTAGAAATGCTCTGGTATTGAACACAAGTCTAAAGGCAGTGGGCGACGTCCCCTGGTTACCAACAAGCAAAGGCTTTTTAATTCCCAATGCAACATTTCAGGATAACTGTTTTGTAGCCCTGCCAAAATGCCACAGAGAGTATATGCATGCTAATGAATTTCCCTTTCGTGACCCAGTACAAAGCCAGCCCAATGAACAATCAATGCAGGAATAATACCCTCTAGTTCAGTCCATGGCAGCCAGACTCACACCATAAAACAAAGCCTGGCCCCGGCTCAGATACTAATAGGTTGGGAAACTGGAAATATGAGTAAAGAGTAAGGGATGCCATTAAATTAACAATGATGTTTGGCTGCTTTGCTCATGGGTACAAAAAGTCACTTCCGCTTAAATCAGTGAGGAGCTTCAGTCAGTGGCCTGCAACATTGTTCTGATTGTACATTGTGGATGAATTTAATGATGTTTCCTTTATCTTCAAACTCATGATTTTGCTATTTCACTGTGGCTGTGTCTTTTATTTCCAGAAAGGCTGCGTGTATAGGTTTCCTGTGGTCATGCATGTCACAGCTAGAACACAACAGTTCTGGCTTTTACATTCACTTGGCTGGTTAATGGATTAGCAGCTCCTTCACTGGAGGATACACTCATTCCTTTGTGCATACTCGCCCATGTGTTGTTTTTGGGGGATGTTTCCTTCTGCACTCAAGAGAGACGTTTTTTTTCCAACTCAGCTGCAGTAAACCCCTAATTTACTTTTTTACCCCCATTTCTTAAACCTGACTGGAATTTCGCAGCTAACACAGATTTCATCACGAGCCTGGAGTTTCGGAGATTGCAACATACGTGTTAATGAACTGCGACCAGATGTATAAATGATGCATCTTAACAAAAAACATGCAGTCGTTTCCCACCTCACGCCTACCTCAGACCAGTCATATCACTCGAAGGTGATATGATGTGGAGATGGGAAAGTAACATGAAAGGACAGAATCTAATAATAAAACATTGTGTAGGTTGCTGGGGTAGGCATTTTTTTTGTGTGTCACTGGGGGAAAAGAAGCCCATTTGGGCATTTTAATTCAAGTAGACTGAGAGAAAAGAAAGTTTATTTGTCCTCAAGGAGTATACAAGTGTGCGTGGGGACAAGTGTCGCACTAGTATACAGATATTGGCAAGTGCACCCATGCCATAAACAGACACAAAAGACAGAGAATTGGGACAAGGAGACACGACATGGATTGGCACTTGACACACCAAAAAACGAATTTCAAATCAATTGAGGCTACTAATTTAGAGCTTGTTTTACTGTGGCAACAAAGCTCTTGCTCCAACGTGCCCCTCTGCACATGGGTAGTGTATATCTGACTCCAGAAGGAAGGGTGGATAAAGTACTGGTGGAGTGGATGATCTGGGTTGTGAGTGCTTTGCCGATCAAGGATAAGGTGACACAGTCATATTGGTTGGAGGTAGGAGTGCCTCTTAGTTTGCTGGCTAAGAGTTTGTTTGAGCACATGGAAACTCGACTTCTGTACCCTCTCTTGGCTCTGTTTTCAAGCTTTAGAAAATCTAGCCTGTGACAGGAGACTTTGGCCAATCACAGGTCATTTCAGAGAGATGGTGTTCCTTTTGGCTGTAGCATGTGCACATCCCTTCAATGAAAGCCTGATTTAATGGCAGCAAATCCGATAGAGAAAGTGGCTATTTTGTCATTGGCAACAACTTCCAGCACTGCAAAGCAACCCAATAATGGAAGACAGACTTATTGAAAAGAGAATTTAAAGGATAGTCTGACAATGAACTCTATAAAACACGTGTCAATATCGCCGAAGCTTCTCAGAGATATAGAGAAAATGTTGCTAATAGGTTAGCCTCTGTTAAATGGAGACAAACGCTCAGAGCTGTGGCTTCATGTTCATGTCTATGAAGTAGGGATGGGCAAACGATCAAAATTCATTATTTGATCATCAAAAAAATTAACGATCAATTATCGATTAATTGATAAGCGAGTATTTCAAAAGAGAGAAAACAAAAGAGTGCAGTGCAGACTGTCGCCGCAAGAGAGCGCAGCTGCCCCAGTTTTGAGCTTCAACCCCCCGGGCCAAAGAGGAAGAATGGCGCGAATGCGCAGTTCACCCCTGGGTGTTTACAATCATTGCCAGCCAGAGTTACAGGCTTCAGTTTTCAGCAAAACCTCCGTCTTTCAATGGCGTAGTGTTTTCAGAGGCCTCAAGGGAAGCCGCCGAGGCTTTGGAGAGCGATGAGAGCCTCCGTTTGTTTCTGTTTTTTTGCCTGGCATAGGTCCGGCGGGGGTCTTGTAGGCCTGTCGAGCTGCCGTGCTCACCGGGCGGAAGGGTCTCGTTGGCACGGCGGCTTGCCGAACCTATGCCAGGCATTGTAGGGGAAACACTGCGACTATTGATCAAAATTATTTGTGATCGATCAAAAGCCTTAACAATCAATCATCGATAATCGAAAATTGATGCCCATCCCTACTATGAAGCTAACGCTAGCTAGAATAACAGTGTCCGCCTCACTCCCCGCTGCTACAGACCACCGGACGCAGCAACCTATGTTCAGCAAGTGCAAACTGGGGGACCAGGCAGCCCAGACTCTCTACCGGATCAGCAAATCTTTCTGTTGCTGTCCTTATACCTAGTACTGCCACTGGATACCAGCCTGCTGTGACACCTGGCGCTTGGGGGGTTTCCCACAGACCTAGGGTTTGCCTCTTGAGCGGCTGCCCACTGTCCTCCTTGGAAAACAGTCCACAGTAGTGGGGAGTGAGGTGGAAGGACTGGGGTAGCTAGTTAATTCTTGTCTGATTCGGGTCTGATAAAAAGAGAAAGAGAGAGCATGGCGAGGGGGGGCTTTCATGGCAACTCTACAATGAAATAAGATTAAGTAAATCAATGTATGGGAAACACTGGGTCACTGTATAAAGCATGTGCATATGCTTGTGGTTGTATGGCGGGGGTGAGGGGCTTAGGGTAGGGAGGGACGTGCTGCAGGAGGTGGATATATTTTCACATTCTGTCTTTTTTTGTGTGCCTTTTCCAGATTGCTGCCCACCCCAACTTTAATTACCCCTGTGAGCGCAATTTCATCACTCTTTCAATTTGCATAGGATGCATCACTTTTTATTTCCCTGTATGAGTGATCTTCTCATTTTATCCTCGGTGCGAGGCACTTTGTAAAGTATGTATTGATGTGAGAGTAAACAAAAAATGATGGTGGTTGATTTATCACTGTTTAAGACATTAAGAGACATTTGACAAATTAATGATACATGCACTAAAAATAGCCTCAGCCTAATGTGCAGTAGTGGTCACGAGAAGTGGCAGCTGCTGTGGTGTTGTTGAGGAAATCGTGTTAGTTCTTTGCTGTTCTTTTTACTGATTGGTGTTAAGACTAATGTTGCAGGCACAGTTATTGATATGGAATTTGTGGGTGAAGGGTGTGCCTGTGTCCTTACAGTGCTGAGGCAGTTTTACTAAATCAATAAAAATATGCAAGTGAACCATTTCACAGTTGGCAATATTTGTGTACCATTCTACAACCCTGCTTGTCGAGGCTCCTTAAACTAAAGCTGAGGTTTATCTGTCTACCTCTCTGTGTCATTACACTTACACTTCTCAGACAGGCACATGGGAAATTTAGCAGCAGCAGCATTCCAGCAGCTCTCTGCTCTCAGAGACTCTATCAATCATTAGATTCTATGTCTTTGCCTCACTGGTACTTTAGTCCCCCATTCCCCCAACATCTGCTGTGTGGAAGCAGAGCACTCATCCCTTCCTTTCCTCCTCCTCTCACGTCACCAGCAGCACGCTGCAGCATTGCTTAACCTCTGGAGAGAACGCCACGAGGACCAGGGGGGATAAGAACCCGGCCTGTGGGAGTTGAGGGGCACTGAACGAGGCCCTCCACGGGGCCAGTGTTGTAACTCTGTTAGATGTTGGGTAGACACGGCAATTTGTTTTATTGCTAACACTACTCATTCATCCATGCGCCTGTCCACCCATTTCTCTCCAAGAGTGGGATAGTCAACGACATGGTCCCTTGACTTGAGGACCTCAATTCAAATCCTGTGACAGGGAGCAGCTACTAACCAAGACACTCAATCCCTACCTCCTCACACTATGACTCTCTCTTTTTCTTTTCTGTAACTAACTCCACTCTGTCCATCATTATTCATCACTATACACATACAAACCCTGCATACATACAAACAACCAAACCTAACACTTTTATTTTCACTCACATG